GTAAGATAAAAGGCTTTGTTATATGTATATATCGACAAATCTCTAAGCCTGCCACAAATTAATTAAAGTGGCTATCAATGACAGTCAATTCGCTAAATTCGTCAAAATTATAATAACCGAGATTCTTGAACCCTAGCCTGGCGAAAACGGGACAGTGGGAAGAAAAGTGTCTAAATGTTTCCACCTCATCTTCCCTCCTCAACTTTAATAAGCTGCGTCCTACAAAACCCTTAACCTTAACGCGTGAGTTCAACATAACTTTTACGTTCCCCTCTGAGCCAGAAAGTTTTCGCAACCCCACAAGTGCTGGTTGCTGAGCTTCCGCGAGATTCATAGATCCAACGCCAGTCGAAAACTCTAAGTTTTGAAGAGAATATCGGGGCAAGCTCTGAAGCTATCTTAACCTATTAATCTTCTCACTGTGTTATCTTTGAACTTACTGCCTTCAGTTTCACCATTTCTTAAACTCTCACTATCTTAATAAAATTTAATAAAATTTGTCAGCATATTTCTGTGATTACTGCTCATTAATAATTTTGATTTGCAATGCGGTGTAGCTTACTTTGAACCGTCTGATTTAAATGTTTGTCTTGTCACTAGACAAACAGACACACATCCGCATGCAGTCTCTCACCCCCGCCTTGTCGCCTCCATCTGCCCGCACTCTCTTCATGTTTCATTCATTCGAATTGCCGTTCACTTTTTCCCTCACTCTCAGTTGGCTAATGATGTTAATCATTTTGTCCACCTCGCGACCATCTGCTATTATTAATGATGCTCATTCGACTCATTATGTAAAGTTTACAATTAATTATCCTCGAAATGATTAACGATTATGGTTTTACTGCCACAGAATTTATTGAATTTCAAAAATTTTCGCAAAGTTCCAGTGCGCATTGTGGCATTTCGAGAGAGAATACTTCCTGGCCGGTAGTCAGTCAGCCGTAAGCCGCCTTTAAATTAATGATTTGCAAGTTTTATTTTAACGGTATTTCAATATTGTGGTATATATGTGAAAGCTTTTGTGCTACAATATTTAATTGCTTTTATAAATATGATAAATAATTTGTCTTGTTGAGCTGATACTGTCTTTCTAGATGATAGACATTATTTTTTGACAAACGACTTGATGGACAATCTCTGGTCCTTTAGAAACTTTAATTTTATAAACATTGTATTAAATACTTCATTAATAAATGTCAACGGAGAACCATTAAAACAAGAGAGAACCAGGAAGAACTCGCGAAAACCACTTAGAGGCAGCGAAAATCACTGAGAACTAGGTGGTGTGACTGAGAATCGGTGAGAATCACTGAAACTTGGGAAGACCCAGTGAGAACCACTGAAAATTGGGGAGAACCAGTGTGAACCACTGAGAACCTGGAAAAACCACTGGGAACCCGGGTGATCTAGTGAGTACCAGAGAGAACCACTTAGAGCCAAGGAGGAGCACGAAAAGCAAGTATTAAGCACTGTGAACCCAAGAAAATTACTGAGATCCAGGTAGAGCCAGTGAGAACCGGTGAGAATTGAGGACACCCAGTGAGAACTCGGAAGATTCTGTGAGAATCAACTAAAACCACTGAGAACCTGGGAGAGCCACTAAGAGTTAAATAAAACCTGAGAGAACCACTAGAAATCCGCGTAATCCACTGAGAACTAGAGAGAACCACTGGACGCCAGGGAGAGCTAATGAGAACTGGGAGAACCAGTGAGAGCCCACGGCAACTATGTAGTTAAAACCCAGGAAAACCAATAAGAACCAGGTAGTACTGAGAATCAGTGAGAACCAAGGAGCCGGCAAAAGTAAAAAAATAAAATTATTTAAAAGCGAATGACTTATGATTAGCAAACAAAGCCCAAATCAAATTAAAGTAAAGGTAAGAGGGTTATTAGTTATAATTCTTTTTGGGAAAGTTTACCCATTGTTAAATTTTTTTACTGAATAAAATTATTACAGGACTGTATCTTCTCTAAATACAAATTATAATTTGCAAACATTTCAAATCAATAAATTATTTTGAGAAAATTCAGTATTTTCTCTTTTAATGCAGTCATCAGTCCAACAAGATATTTATCAAGCTAAGATGTACTTATTTATTTGACATTCAATCTGGCAATTCTGCTTTTGTTGTTATTATTCGCCTGCTCATTTGCTGCTTTCTAAGCTATCAGTGAACTCTTAATCTGCTTACTTATGGCATCAGTGATTTCGTCTTCTTAATTTTGATTTTCGTTTTCATTTCAATTTCCTGCTGCTACCCATTTATTTCATCAGTCTCCGCCAACCTTTACAACAGAACTAGAGACTGTGCTTCTTCCCTACAATTATTTGTTTATTTTACAGTAATTTAATTCAACAAACCAGAATAACATCGCTGATGAGCATGAAAATGATGAAGAGGAGGAATATTTGCCAAAGGCAGCAAGCAGAATCTACAGCAAAGGGACGGTTACTGCAAAGCGCCTTAAATGTCCAGCAACGAAAAGTTTACTGCACTTGACTGGCTTTCCATTGAATATCGATTACGATTACCGGTGAGAGAATGTTTTGGTGATATTTATTTTTTGCAATTATTCTTTCTTTTTTCTATACCCGAAGTCAACATGGTTTTCGTGAGTATTTTAATTTTATTGTAATATATTGAACAGGATATAGACCAACAAAGAAGGGAAAGTCTGTGAGGACAGATTTTATTGTATATATTTCTACAGTCGTTATATTATCAATAGAGCTCTCGTTTTACAAGCAACATCAACCCCTGAACGACTAAGGGAAGTATATTCCTCCAAGAGCTATCAGCTCTCAAAGTGGGGTCTTTGCGAGTTTTCGCTCCGAATTTTGTTAACGCGAGCCGCAACTTTCAGAGTATCCTTGAGCGTGTGAGCTCTTCCAAAGTCTATTAAGGAAGCCTTATAACCCTACTTCGAGATCGCCATCTCTGCACTAAAGTAAGCAAACCTTAGAAACACTGATGCTCCACGAAAGTCAACTTGTCGAACAAACAATGAACCATTCTAACGCCTCCAATTGTTTATAAGAGTACACATTTTATCAGTTCAACTACAAACACCTTAAATTTGTGTAAACTAAAAAAAACTCCTCGAGACAGTTTGATTCCGTTTAGATGGCAGTCGCGTCTACGTAACCAGAACCGCCCCGGGTTTTATCCAGCCAACTTCACTTGACAACATTCCAGTTTTCTGTCATTACTAGCTTTCTAAAGGCCGGTAATTCAATCGAGAGTCAGAAAATTAAGCCAGTAGATCGTGCAAAAGTAAAACAAACAACGAGAACAAAAAGCACCTTCATCCTTAAAATATTCGATTTCATTTGATAAAAGTCCCACCTTACTTTTAATTTATCAAATTATTGCTGCAAAAGGCAACAATAACTAAGCGGCGGCACGTTGCTAGCGCGAATAAACCGCCCCGTCCAGCATACACCTGCCAATCAATATTGCACTCCACTCACTGGTATTTACTTCGACTCATTGTGTCTAGGCAACGATGTCATCAACAATTTTTCTCTACAGTTTTCTGTGCACGTCCCCACCACCCGCCATTTGCGCGCTACCAACGCGCAAGCTTTTCTATTCTACTCAGTTTTGTTTGCATTATGGATTTGGCAAGCTTAAAGTGGCTTCCAGAGCATTTGGCTTCAGCCACATTGGCATCACCATTGTGGTGGCAACGCTGGTGGCAGGCGTCGCCGCACAGACTCACCACACCGCACTTCACAGTTCACAGCAACAACAGGCACAATCTCGGTTCATAGATATGATTGACAACCATTCGTTGACTTCGGCGCTGGGTTTGTGCTGCTTGCTAGGAGATTACGCCGCCAGCTAAGAAAACAAAAGTTTAGTGTCGAAGCTGCGCGGTTATTTGTATTTATTTTCAAGTGTAAAATATTATTTTTTCCTTTGTTTGAACTTTAAGCCGAAAATTGTTTGAGCAAAGTAACCGAGCGAATTTGTAAAAATCTCTTTGTTGGTAAATGCTTCGTTTCCCATTGTTTTAACTTAGCTGACATCTTTTATTGTTTACATTATGGAAAGTGATCTTTGTTGTTATTGTTTTCATGCAATAATTGTTGTTATTATCTATAGATTTAATAGGAAGTGTAAATGTTACTAATTTAGGTGAAAGTTGTTATAGTGTCTCTTCGATTCCGCACAGACTAAGAAATTAATCCAATATAAGAGATTCGTTTAAGCTCTAACAAATTTTCTTGTAAGTTCAATGCCAGTTGTTTGTTCGATTCGCCACTCTCCAAAGTTTGTCGTATTACAAGCAAAACTAGAAGTAATATTTTAGTAAACTTAAATGAAAACTAGCGCTAGTATTTACAATAGATTCTTAACGGAGCTACAGAGAATAGAAAATAAAATTGGATATTACTCATACCCGTATTTCTAGTCTAAGTCTCTTCTCCTCTTTTCATGGTCAGCAACCTTGTGAGTAATTCTATTTTATTCCTTGTGAGATATTCCCTACTCAGAATATAAAGAAGATTTTTAAGGATATTACCGCAAAGCTAAAATAATGTTAATCGAGCTTAGCTTATGCAGGATCAAGTATAAGATTTGAGTACACTTCTGCCAAACGAGCTTAATTATGCAACATGCAGAGAAGAGTACAAAATGTCGGACTATTCGGAGATGTAGTTTAATGTAATGTGTGGATATTAAGCATTGATCACTATATCATCCATAAGTTAAAACCATTATTCCATTAGAATTAATCTTAAAAATAATACCCGAAGTTTTAAAAATTAAAGTATATTGTCTATAATAAAAAATACTAGCAGTGATGAAACTGTTGCTAAGGGCAGCAATTTAGTTCTCAGCGTTCGTATTCTCGTTGCCTGTTGAGAACCAGCCTAACTGGGTTTCCTACTATGAAACACTTTTGATGTTGTCAAATTAATATTGAATGGACGCCGGTGCTAATTTGTAAATCAAAACAATAACAACAACCTACTAAAAAATCCATTTATTTATTATAAAAAAACTTGAAAGAGAAAGTTGCTTATAATTTTTATAAATCTCTAATATATGTACATACAAATGATATTATGTACTCAAACCAACCAAACTGTTACGCCTTTCAACCGAGAAACCCATTAGTATTAATCAGTGGAACACCTATATTCGGCTGAACGCCTCCTCGGCGATTTCCACCTATAGCAGTACTACCAGCGTCAAGCCAGTTGCCAATCTGCAAGGGTGACAACAAACTACGTAAATTGCCCAAACCCTGACAAGTGGTTGAAGTCAAAGGCGTGAGTGCAGCGCCCAATACCGAGAGCTCACAAAAACGGAAATCACTATCGGAACTTATGCCCGTGTCCACTTTTATGAAGGGCACCTCTTTGCCAACAACGCTTTTAAAGAGCGAGTCACCGGCTGACTCTTTCGTACTATCCTTACCAAATGACTTCGCGAACGTCACCAGCATACCGATTAAGTTTTGACGCACTTTCAAGTCCTCCTGATCGATGAGCTGTGCTTCCGGTATGGGATTACCAAAGAGATCATTCGCATCGAACATGTAGCCGAGTTCGTCACCATGCGCCACCACCTCTGAGTTCCTATTATCAGCATACTCGGAAACGATCGGCAGACCACGTAAGAAATGTATACCCTTTGAGCGAGTGCCATTATATTCGAAGCTATACATAAAGGAGGGCGCAATCTCAGACCAAACTTGTAAAGTTAAAACTGCCGGCAGGTTAAAAATTATGTCGGTACTGGTGTCAATGACCTACAGCGTTAGGTAAAGTATTTGCATTACAATTCATGGAAAATATAAAGAAAATACCTTCGCCATCACTTCATCCAAACTCAATGACTCAGGCACCTTTAGAATATCGTTCAGTGTAGGCGTTAATGCCTCCGCTAGACCGGGTAACACCGGTTGTAGTATCTCTCCGGTGACTTTATCAATACGCAAAAATCCAGAAAGATCTTTTAAAGTACCACTAAGTGAATTGAGAAATTTTTGCGCCGAACCAAAGATCCGATTAAGTGTACCAATGCCAACAGCATTAGCGGTTTCATGTTTTGTAACGCCTGTTAACAACGGTATAGGAGTGAAACTCCCGCTACGCAACTGTTGCTCCGGTTCGTCCACAATCAAACTAGGTAAGCCACGCCCGTCGTTCTTGTCTTCAATGTGTGGCGTGAAACCGACACTGCCCGCGAGTCCTTTGACAATGGCGCGGCCTGCGAGACGTTCCGTTTGGACTTTCGAGTCGTTTTGTATGATATCCTCGGCTAATTTCTAAAAAGTTTGTTGCTTATTAATATTAATAAAAAATAAAGATCCCATGACGGGATTACCCGTTGTGGTGGACTATAATTACCTCTCTCAAACATTCCACGATCGTCAGCTCGTTCTTTGTAGGACAGCCATTAATTTTCGCCACTTCGTCCACACTCTGAACGGGTTCCTTATCGGTTGCATATTGTGACAACGCTGTACCCGACATCGCGACCACACCCGATATATCAGTCACACTGCGTACCGTGTGTGACATCGACAAAAACATTGCACACGCTGCGCCCGAACCGTGACCAATAGCCTTAACTTGACGTGGATCACCGCCGAAGTGTCGAATATAATCGTTAACCCAACGCAAAGCTGTCACCATGTCGAATATCGCCAAATTGCCATCGAACTCTTTAGTGCCATCACCCATAATACCCAAGGAACCAAGCCGATATTGTGGCGTTACGACTATAACACCTTGTCGTGCTATAGGCGTCGCATCATACTGCGCGGCAGAACCAAAACGAAAACCACCCGGATGTATCCAGACATAGACCGGCAGACCAGTCGTTTCATCGGGCATATGTGGCGTATAAACATTAAGCAGTAAACAGTCCTCACTACCCACTATGCGCCGATTATTAAAGGAATAGGGTTGTATGCACGGCGATCCAAATTGTGTGGCGTTAATATCACCGGCCATACGCTTGTAAACAGGGCGCGCAAAACGCAAGCGGCCAACTGGTGGTTCGGCATAATACAGGCCGAGGAAGGAGTAAATGCCAGTTTCTGGATTGCGAAAGCCTTCGACGCGCGCATCACGATTGAAGGCGCGTGTGAAAACGACCGGATCATCTGGTGGTGGCGCCTTCGAAAGACGTCCGCCCACGATGCGCTTTACGCGTATATTTCGCACAGTTCTTTCAGCTGTTGTTGCATTACAACAAATTAAAGTAGTTGCAAAGAATAGAAAAACTATGAGTAGTTTAATTAATTTGACGCTAATAAAATATATTTTAGCTAGCACCGACATAGCGATCTCTATGCGCGAACTGGTTACAATATATTAAATATGTGTGTTTTTACTGTGAATGTCAAGCAATAACTGTCAGCGCGCCCTGCTAGCAAGTTAATATTGCCCTTCAGCGTACGCTCCGTGCGTTATCTGTCGGCTCAGTTCAAGCGCGGAAGAGTCAGACGCGATCTTCTGCGCTTTGTGCGGATAGCGTGGCTACAGAACGATCAGCGGTTGAGTATAGCATGAGATTGGCTCTGCTGAAGTGATATCACTTTGCGCTGCTATATTTAACTGTCCTTGAAACTGGTAATTTCATAAACTTTCTTATCAAAGAGGAACAAAGAGAAAATAACATAAATACAAATAGAATTGTCAGAGAACACGTAAAGGCGGGCTTTTTTAGTGTTATTTTTCTTTACGACTGGATATTCTCATAAATGGACTAGTATTATATTATATATTTCATAAAAAATATGATTTAGAATGAACTGTTACACCTTTTTATAGAGTTATAACATCACTATAGCCAAGCGAATTGAGTACATTACTACCTCCCGGCGACTAAGTAGTCTAATCCCGACCAAAAAAAATTAAAATATCAATCGCCTCCTGGAAAACATAGTACTAACATGGAATAGTTTCTTCCAAAATATATTCAAAATGAACCCTCAATTTTTTTCGATTGAGAGAATGCCGACATTGGAAATTTTCCATTTTTGAGCCAATTGCTGGCTAATATGTACGACATGTTATACAAAAAGGGGGCTACTCACTTCGCTACTTGTTTTGCAGTGGCGAATTTTTCAAATAGATTAAGTTGTTCCAACATGCGGCATGTTATATGTTAAATATGTTAAAAGCTTCCGTTAACTAAATTCGTATTCAAGCCGAGCGCTTGGTACTTCATACGTCATATCTCGCTATCACATATATTAATATAAATATATGTACATATATTATTTTAACAGCAAAATCGCTATAAATAATATTGTCAGCATAGGTACATATTTATGTATATTAATGAGTGATGCATGTCACAGCAATTACAATGACAGCAAAAACTAAAAATGTCGCTTTTCAAATAGAAAGGAAAAATATAGAATGATAAATTATTTAAAAAGAATTGCTTGGCATTTATATATTGCTTGGGTCATGAGTCACACTTTTTAAAGATTTCCGAAAATATTTAATTGCGTGTGATGCTCTAGGGTTTTCAAGAAAATATTTAGTTCCGCAAACCTTGAATTTTTTTCCAACAATTTTTGAATCGGTTCATATATTCTCCTAGCTCTCATGAGCGTGTGAAATTTTTGGCGATCCTCAGTTTGAATTTATTTGGTAGAACTGTGGGTTATCGCTATCACAATCACTAGGCATTATGTGAAAACAGAAACGAAATGGTTTCCTGTACAAAATCTGCTAAGCTCTATATAACTAATACCGAAATTTCTTCAGACTCACTGTGTTACATATATATCGAAATTTATATCACAGTTTTAAAACCTCAACGAATATTGAATAAGTTTTATAGTCAACAATTTGTTCTTTAAAACGGCAGTGTAACCTCTAACAGACTGTAATCAAAAATGCCGATTATTCTTAGGTTTGCTTTGTTTAGCTTTCAATTCGGAAACCTTCAGGAACTAACTAGAGCTTATTGGATATCCAACGATACAAGAGTACGAAAAAAGTTGGTGTCTTGGCTCTCATGTTTGCCGTCGAAGTGTCGTAAGTAGACATCAGAAATTTTATAGAAGCTTAATAATAGACCCCTCGAACTCATTGGGCAACTAAACAGGTTTCTCGGCGAAAAGAACACACATTATTAGTCTCATAATAAATCTTTCTCAATACATGGTACAAAAGTTTGACCTGAGACAATATATGATTTCACCGTACCTAGTGTCTTGGAGAATACTAAAGGGTGCCCCAGTATTAACGAAAAATTTAAACGAAATAGAAAAAAAATAGTTAAAACACTATTAGAACCATGTATGAAATTTTCGAACTTCGTCCGCCAAGCTTTCATTATTTTTGAAATATTGTTCAATAATGAAGACACGTTCATCAATCCTGTAACGCTCCGTTTTTACTAAGCCTAAACTATCAGCTGTCGATTTGTTTTTCCTTTAGGGTTGTCAACATTTTACTACATAAATGGCGGCAAATTTAAATTTTTTTTTTAATTTTGAGACACCCTGTATTTACCCAAATATATTATATTACTACAAGGTATGTGGGACTCAATAAAACTGACTGAGACTGAGTAAAAACCCGGCGATAATAACAGAAAAAAGTATATCAGTTTTGTGTTGGAAAAATCAAGTTTCAGTTACTTGATGTATGTGAGTGTATATAAAAAAATTAATTATATTTATTAATAAAAAATGCTCAGTATTAAAAATTTCAAAATTCCCTTTTATTAAAATCAAAAATTATTATTTACAGTTGAATATTAAACAATATTTTACTTGCATTGTAAGATTTTTATTTCCTACCCACCGGGCCTATCAATAAACTCTGTTTCAAAGTGCTGCCAAATAAAGCGTAAAAATTTATAAATTTTCCACAAGTTGAAACCAGTTGAGTGCTCATGGAGCTTTCTTCGAGATAATAAGAGCTATATAAAGATATTCGATAAGTTTTTGGTAAACAAAATTACTTGATTACGCTGCTGCTTTGGTTGTCGGACACATAACTATGTATGCGTATTAGGGTTGCACTTTTTATGACTAATAATATATTTTTGACTTCTTATTGTAGCTACATTTACGCGAATTTCGAACGTAACATATTGTTTACGTATGCAGTTAATAATATAAGTTTTTTTTCTAAAAATTTTATTTTTAATTTTTGCAATATTTTCATATTTATTACATTGTTTGCATTTTCTTAAAATATCTCTTCTTAAATTTTCTTATGCCGGAGCCAATGCGAAATATTATGCTAAAAAAAATTTTCCTTTTTGTATTTGAGTATTTTGCTAAGAGCAACTCTATACTCTTTTGATGTCACATAAAAATAGAAAATATAAAAAATATAGTTGCCGCACCTTAATGTGTGAACTCTGAAGAGAAAAATCGAAAACAAAACTGAAAAATTAATGCAACAACAACTGCATACAAAAATGTGAAAGAGTATTTGCATTTCTTAAAAGATTTATTTCGCAAACAACAACAACAATAAAAAATTGTTGTTGGCAAGAAAAACGAGAAGGAGTTATTTTAGTTGTTGTTGCTGTGAAATTCAAGTACAAAATCAATAAATTCAATTATTTAGAATTGAAGGCAAATAAATTGTGGGAAAAATTCGGAAATAAATACAAATTGAAGTAATTAAAATCAAAATATATGAACTGTGAACAAATAAAAGACTAAAGACTGAGCAGAGTAGTGCATGATAGAAAAAAAACAAAAAACCAGAAGATAGTAGAAGCAAATTTATAAATATATGTTGCAAAGTGGAGAACTACAAAGATTTGCAGCAAGAAAATTCTAAAGAGTCAACTTAAAAGCAGAAAATTGCAAGGAAAACCTTCGCACTCATGTGTGTGTGTGTGTGCGTCCACTAAAAATATATGCATAACTATTTTCTGCGAAAGTGCACTCAAGTGCACACATTGCAATGGCAAGCAGCTCTTTGCTCGATTGGTCCTTGTGGCCTGCTGCCGTGCGCCCCAGCAGCGTCGCCTTTCACTCGAAATGAAATGCAAATTTCAAATTAAAATATTGCATTACACTGCCACAGATGCATTCGAATGGAAATAAATCGAAGCATATGCCCGTGTGTGCACGCAAGCAAAACGCTAGCCGACAGACACAGGGCTAAAACCGCTTCAAATGCACATGAGTGGCAAAGTAAAATCTGCCAGGACAATTGTAATCGTATAGATGGCTAGAGCAACAACAAAAACGAAGTTCGAGCGTATAAGCATTAGAAATGCCTCCACACACTTGTGGCTGTCAAGCTAGCCATATGTCATAGCTACTAAACGCAGACGGCAAGCCTAAGAAGCGGCTGTGTAATAGCTACAAGCTTACATACCAACACCCGCTCATGTGTGTTTATGGCTGCCATTAAAATGCTCTAAAAAAAACTTGTGTACGAGAAATTGAAACTGTCAACAATGACAAATACAGGCGAATATAATAAATGCTGACATTCTGACAAAGCAAGTGCGAGTAACTTGAGAGCGAAGCGGTCTGTTGGACCTTTCTCTGTTCCCAATATACGCTGTACAGTGAGTTCCAACTTTCCTAAAAACTATTCAGCTTAGCCTTCAATATGAATGGAGTTGGCCTAGATTTAGGCTTTCGGTTGAGTTTATATCACACATATCGCAGTTCACGATGATGTTAATATAATTTTAGCTGACGCGAAATAAAACTAGTAATAAAACTAAGTCTAAGTCTGAGTCTATTAAAATGATAAAATATTGTATATAGATGCTAAATTCTCAATTTGATTGTAATCCAGTCACGATTTCATCGGTTAAATTCTTTCACAACATTTGTATACCCTGAACAGAATATATTAAAAGTTTATACTTTATATCCTACAGTGATCCGATCTGAACAATTTGTTCAAAGATTGTTGCGTATGAAGATATCTTATGAAAAAGTTTTCTATACAGGGACTTGAACGGTATGTTTGCATGGCAACTATATGCTATGGTAATTCGATCTGAACATTTGGCAAATGGGTCACTGGCGAATGTTGTAGACTTTGATATATATTAATAAAGAGTAAGCGACTTCATAAAATGCAAACAAAGCGGTCAATGACATCTGCAAAATGTAAACAAAAAGGACATTGACCTCATAATGTAAAAAAAAGGGGTCATTGAGCCCAAATGTTAACAAAGGTTGTTGACTTTGCTAAATAAAAACAAAGATTGTAGACTTGGCTAAATGTAAAAAGAGTCATTGAACTTATAAAATGTAAATCAATAAATTCAATTATCGAATCGGAGGCAAATAAATTGTGAGAAAAATTCGGAAATAAATACAAATTGAAGTAATTAAAAGCAGAATATATGAACTGTGAACAAATAAATGACTAAAGGCTGAGCAGAGTAGTGCACAAAGATATCAGCTTCAAGCACAAGGAATTCTCGAATTTTTAAGCCATCCGTAATTGGCTCAACCTTTCCGTATAATTTAAGAGCATTTTGTCCAACTCCTAGC